CCTAAGCCTACTTATTCTTGCCATCTAAGTACCTACCTGGGTGTCATTGGTATAACTTGATATGTTTTTAAATGTAATTTTCTATGTCTGCACACAGGATCTTTATCAAAAACTTTATTCATGATGACAAATAACTGTTCAATCCTGGCATCTTGTCTTAAATCTTCTCCACCCTTTACTAGATAATGATAATCTTTCTCATCATTACCACGTATTGTTATTCTTTTAGGTCGTCGTAGTGATGACATTACCAATACCTACAAGGTAATAAAATAAAATATTGAATGGGATAGTCTTTTCTCTTAATCAAATTAAAAATCAGGCCGCGTATTTTCAAAACGATATTAGCGCTAGAATGTCCTAGGGCCTTAACATCTTACACTGTGTCTAGGACATCCTAGCGCTAAGATCGTTTTGAGAATATGTGGCCCTCAGAAGTGGCCATCACTATACTAAAATAAACAAGAAGTTTGAAAATAAAAAGTTGAACATACAGTTAACACATGTGAACATACCACATAAGAAATATTGTGATCATACATGTAACTAACACATAAGAAATATTGTGATCATGAACAAACATGCTACTAACACATAAGAAATATTGTGATCATGAACAAACATGTCTCAAACACATAAGAAATATCATGATCATGAACAAACATGCTACTAACACATAAGAAATATTGTGATCATGAACAAACATGTCTCAAACACATAAGAAATATTGTGATCATGAACAAACATGTCTCAAACAAATAAGAAATATTGTGATCATGAACAAACATCTCAAACAAATAAGAAATATTATGATCATGGACATACATGTCACAATAAGAAATATTGTGATCATGAACAAACATGACTCAAACACATAAAAAATATTGTGATCATGAACAAACTTGTTACTAACACATATAAAGTGCCAAAAATATTGTGTTCATACCACATAAAACATATTGTGGTTTAAATGTCAAGCAACAGATGTATAAGTAATACTAAAAATAAAACATATAAAGAACATAATTACCCTTTCATCAAAGCCAGCAACTTTAACATGATATTCTGGTAATGGTTTACTTAATCCATCATATTGTCCTGTAAAAACAAAAGTAAGCTTATCTACTGTAAGGCTAAACTTTGATGAACAACATTACAAGAACAGGTTTCCCTACCTATTATAAAATATATGGTTATATCAAACAATTAAGGAATGGCATAAAAAAAAATTAAGCTGATCAATGTATAGACAGAAAAAAACCTGTGTACACTATACAAATCCGAATAGCGGTTTATACATAATTTTTCTGTTGTAGGAGCGGAGCTTATATTTAATTCTGTTTACACACATATAATAAACTGAATGCATGTGACCGCTGTTATCCAATCAAATTATGAGATACCTTGTAATTATTTTAATTTAATCAATTTCATAAGAACTGCCAGCATCTTGCAGAGAGTACCTACCTGGAATTTCTAGGTCTCTGCTATCTCTGTTAGGATTGAAATCTGCCAGCCATTGACAATATTCATGTAATGACAATGGTGGCACTAGCTTTCCACGACCTTTCTTATGTTTATCAAATTCACCATTTAATTTTACATGATGATTTACAAAATCCTGAAAATAATTTTTAGCATATTTAAGTGGTGTATGTCTTTTTCTGCCAAGTCATCATACAGAAATTTACATTAATCAATCAAAGATATTGAAAAAAGCAAGACGATTAGTCAACATCTAGAACTACAGATAACAGAAGTCTTGGCCATGATGGTAAATTTGCAACAAACATTTATAATGCTGATTGCTCGTGATCAGTTTCAATAAAACAATTGTGTTATTACCTTTATAGACATGCTGGCCAACTTTTCTCCATTTTTACCAAAAGCAATATCAAAATCCTTCTTAAATGTCTGCAATAAAAGCAATAATAAGGGTAACTTAAAAGCAACAGCCCTATATGAAATGAATTCCTATTGGCCCCCTTGCTAGTTTGACCAACATTAATATATGCACAGCTAGTGAGTAAAACACCTCAGTCATTGTGATAATGTTTAAAATTCAAATCTTTATCCATCAAAACACAAAACTTTAGTAATGTATTGGTTCATGGTAGACTAGAACCCCTTTCATCAACTCCCTGAAACAGTTGCATTGGAATACAAGTTGAATATATTTTTTCTTGTAATCTCTCCAGAAGTAATAATCTATGAATAATCTTCAGTAAAACATATTCTGTTTGAATTAAAATAGTTTTCATTTTGAAATCTATAGTTTCTACTTGTGACCTAGGCCAGTGCTTCTATAGGAGAGTATCTTTTATAACACCTATAACTAATC